AGAGGGAAGAGGGTCAGAGGGAGAAGCAGACTCCCTGCTGAGCAGGGAGCCCGATGTGGGACTCGATCCCGGGACTCCGGGATCATGACCTGAGCTGAAGGCAGTCGCTTAACCAACTGAGCCACCCAGGCGCCCTTGCCATTCTTGATCAGCTGGATCCTGACACATTTCCTGATGGCAGAATGTGGCTGCTTGGCTTCAACCCCTGCTTTTCTCAGCGCAATTCCCTTTGCATGGGAAGCGCCTCCAAAAGGGCTGGCGCCCAGGGCTGTGCCCAAAGGGGCTTTCTTGTACGGTTTATCATGCCACTTCTGATCTCGTCGGCTATGCAGCTTCCTGGCAGTACAAAATCTACGACCCTTACCCATCCTGCCGGCGCCACAGGCCTGAGCAAAAGAGACCACACCCTCACATTTCTTTCCCAGATCTGGTTCATTCTGCTTCCTGATGATCCCACCCAATGACTAGCCTCAAAATGCAACCAGCTGCTGTGGACCACGAAAGGCAAGCCATGCTTAATGCCCAGGAAGAGTTGACCCTCTTTCTGGAATAATCCAGTAGCCAGCAATTTTGAGGGCAGGGACTGGCCAGGAGGCTCTTCTTTGGCATTAGATCAGATAATAACCCTTAATCCCATGACTATGGGGGCTCCAGTCCAGAGTCTTCCTGACCATGTACATTTGTTACCACAAATAAAGGCCCCCGGGGTTCTTCTGTGACCTGGCCTGACTCACCTGTAAGATCCAGTGGCTACTTTTTCACCATCTACCATTAGGAACGTTGATGACAGGGTCCCCTTGATCTTCCCCATAGGCATGTAGAAGCCAACACCTGTCACAGAGCGGACACGGATGTTCTGTTGAAAAGAGGAGAAAGGCACTGTCACTCATGAGGCTCTAAGCCAAGTTTTGTGTGTGCAGAGGAGGAACCCTCTTGTCTGTGGAACCTGCCTGTTGGTTCCTGTCTATACTAGACTCCGCTTCCTACAGCCGTAGAGGTGAAACCCCATTTGGAGAGCAAGAGGAAGTTAGCAAATCTTGCTCTGAGCATAGATGAGCCCAGAGTGATGCCTGGCTGCTCCCAAAGCTCCCCAGAAGAGAACCATAGCCCTAGCTTTGATCCTGACAGTCACTCTGCAGGGTGAGCACCCCAGGACTGGGCCACAGCTGCCACCTTAGCCTCAATAGTCTTGAGATGAAATTTAAGCTGGGCATGTAATTTAGGGTTATTAATTCACAAGCAAGGTTTTAGACAGAAAGAAAGGTGTTGAGCATGCTCACCTGTGCGCCTGAACTGGGCAGAGGATGAGTCAGAGGCAGCCTCCATCTCATCTCCCGCCTGCCTTCCCCACCCTCCACCCCTACCCCAGTGGTACAACTTACCCGAATACGGAAGTCAGTGAGCTCTAGGCCCTGACACATCTCCAAGAAGAGCTTCACGCCTGCCTCATCCAGGATGATATATACTGGGACCCGGCGCTTAAAGGCAGCGTCCACAATGTCTTGGAAGATATCGCCATCAGTGAAGAGGTCCATGACCACCGCAATGACCTGGATGGGGAAGGGCACTCGTGAGGCACGTGGTGACTCCATATCTAGAGCGATACACTGTGGCCCAGAGAGGCCCAGCTGGGCCTAGGGAACTGGAGGCCAAGAGTCAAACACCCCATCTGCACCACTCCGGGGCTTTCCACGTCCACACCCATCTCTGAGCACATCTGAGCCCATAGATGGGCTCTCTGCTCTGAGAAATGCCTGGGGGTCCAGACTGTGCTACTTGTACCTCAGCCTTGACAAATCCCCACTACCCCACCCTGGGCATTCTTCAACAGCTCTTCAGAAGCCCTATCAGGGAGATCTAGGAGGCTGAGGGAAGTTGGTCCTAGTGGCCCAGGGAAACAAGTAGGCTCAAGAAGATGAGATCACTGAGAAGCATGGGATGGACTCATTACTACCACCTGCAAATCTGCTCAAACCCCTTTCTCTGCAGGCCTGGGTGCTTCGATCTCCCAAGAGCTGTGCAAAGTTCCATACTCCCCTTGGTGCGGTTTCACATAGAGCTCTACTTAGCTCAAACTCCCTTGGCCTCCAAGTGGCCGGGTCATCCCACACTACCCTCAAGTTAAGGTCACTGCCTAGGACTCCTGATCTCCAAAAGCCCGTCCTGAAGATCTGCCCTGGAAGCTGAGGCTTTCTGCAGCCTGAGGCAGATCTGCCTTTCTGACCTTAACTTCCTCCATTTTCCTATGCAAACCTTCCTCTGCTCTAGTGGCAGGGTTTTCTTGCGGGCCCCAAGCATTGTGCATGTGATGCAGAGGAAAGGGCATGCTTTGGGGTCAACAGATCTGGTTATAAGACTTCCTATGCAAGTGACCTTAGGCAAGTCACTTAACCTTGGTGAGCCTCTGTTTCCTTATCTGCAAGGTGGGGATACCCTTTATCCTGTACTTTTATTTTGCCATTGAGATTAGATAACACCTGTAAAGCATCTAATACAGTGCCTGGTATGTAGTAAGACCTAAATAAATGGTAATCACTGTACAGTTGAGGGATTCTGTTAGTTGTTGCCACTGAAAGTCTGAACGCTGAAGTCAGACAGACCAGGCCTAGTAGACCAGTTCCACCACTGACTCATCAGTGCCCCAGCTAATAACAGCACCTATCTCAAAGAGATGTTGTGAGGGAGATGAACCATGAGAGCACTTAGCACGGTGCCTGGCACATGGTAAACTCAACAGTGGTATCCTCCATCCCCACCACCCTCACACATGAGCTCCACCATCACCCTGCCTCTAAAGACCCCGCCCCCCGCAATTCACACAGTATTATTTATGACTGTTCTTGGCTCCTACATTTCATACTCAAATCATCCATACGAGTTAACATTTACTGAGCCCCATAGGCAGAGGGAGGATCTAAAGACAAACTTTAATCCCTACCTTCAAGGGGTTAATCCCATTGGAATGATAAGCCATTTGCACTAAATAAGATGTGAGGCAAAATGAGATGAATGCTTTAAGAGATGTAAAAATGACATGTGATGTGAGTTCAAAGTTGGAAGGGGGGTGGGAGGAGGGCCAGCGGGAGGGAGGGAGACTGAATGATTACTTCTGGCCATAGGAGAAAGGCTTAAGAGAGAGAAAGCCTTAAGAAAGGCTTCATCAGGGAAGCTAAAACCTAAAGAATGGGCAGCCTCGGGGACCAGGAGAAATGAACAGGGAGGAAAACCGAGCCGGCAAGTGGGCAGGGCTGCCATGCATGGGTATGCAGGTTGTGCACTGCACATGGGCTCTGGGCTGAGGGGGTGAGTGGAAGCTGTGTCTGCCTGAGGAAGGGACAGCTTTTTCTAATCTGCACATAGCATCCACATGGGCTAGCAGAAGCCTATGAGGCAGGCATTTCAGGCAAAGAACACATCATAAACATAAACTGAGGACAGGGACTAACACGCACTGCGCACATTCCATGTGCCCCACACTGTTCCAGATGCTTTAGGTAAATTTTCTAACTTGATCCTCACAATAAGGAGGACGGTTCTCATTTTACAGATGAGGAAGTAGATGCAAAGGGGCTAAATGATGTGTCCAAGGTCATACAGTTAGCATGTAGCGGAGCAGGGATTTGAACTCAAGTCTCTCAGACTCTGTAAGGTATTTTAGAAATATCATATCAAAAGCTGATTCTTTAAAAAGACCAAACAAGATAGACAAACTTCTGACAAGGCTGACAAAAACAGAAAATGCAGATAAAGTGCTGAGTAAAAACAGAAATAACCACACACATATTTACTTTTTAAGAAATCGTATTATTTAAGAAATAGTAAAAATGGCAAAAAGAATATTGGGACTATTTACACACTGATGAATTTGAAAGTGAGAATGACATGGTTAAGTCGTTAAAAGCAAATTAAACATAATCCAGCATAATCCAGTAAGGTTTATCCTGGAAATAGAAGGATGATTCAACATCAGAAAATCTGTCCTTTTAATTTATAACACTTATGGGGTCAAGGTGGGGAAATCATATATTATCTTAATAGGTTTTTAAAAGTATTTGATAACATGGGGTGCCTGGGTGGGCCAGTGGGTTAAACATCTGCCTTCAGCTCAGGTCATGATCCTAGAGTCCCAGGATGGAGCCCTGCATCGGGCTCCCTGCTCAGCAGCAAGTCTGCTTTTCCCTCTGCCCCTCACCCTGCTCATGCTCTTTCTCTCTCTCGAATAAATAAATAAAATATGTTTTAAAAAAGTATCTGAGGGGCGCCTGGGTGGCTCAGTCCTTAAGCGTCTGCCTTCGGCTCACGTGATGATCCCAGGGTCCTGGGATCGAGCCCCGCATCAGGCTCCCCACTCAGCGGGAAGCCTGCTTCTCCCTCTCCCACTCCCCCTGCTTATGTTCCCTCTCTCGCTGTCTCTCTATCAAATAAATAAATAAAATCTTTTTTTAAAAAAGTGATAACATGAGATCCCTATTTGTGATTAAAATACTCAAAAAACTAACAATAGAAGGGACCTTCCTTAACCTGGTAACGGCTGTCTACAAAAACCCCACATGAAACATACTGAACAGAAAAACATTAGATGCATTCCCTTTAAGTCTCAAGAATGTCAATAATACTTTCACCACTGCTATGGTAAAAAAAAGTATTGGAGGTGCTGACCAATGCAATATGAAAAAGTGAGAGAAGGATTAGAAGAAACAAAACTACCAATATTTGGAGATGATTTTTTTTTTTTTGTAAGTAGGCTTCATGCCCAGTGTAGAGCCCAACGTGGGGCTTGAACTCATGACCCTGAGATCAAGACCTGAGCTGAGATCAAGAGTCAGACGCTTAACAAGTGAGCCACACTTGGAGATGATATTTTTATAGAAAACCCAGCAAAATGCAGAGGGACATTAGAATTAACAGGAGAATTTAGCAAGATTGCCAGATACAAGACAAACTAACAAAGGCCAATAGCATTCTTATACTACAGTAGCAATCAACTAAAAAAGGGGGAAGGGGGAGAAAAAATAAGATCAACATTGCAATTTTAAACACATAGGATTTAAGAATACCTTTATGGAGAAATTTGGAAATCTCTATTCAAGGATATTTTAAAATATGTGAATAAATGAAGAGATAAATTATGTTCATGGATAATATGATTCAATATTTGAAAAACTGAATTCTCCCCATATTAATAAAATTCGATGTAATTCCAATGAAAGTCAGTAAAGTTTTTTGAGGAACTCAAATAATTCTAGGATGCAAGGAAGGATAAAGATCTACAATAGCTAAGTCAATTTTGAAAAAGAAAAGCTGAGGGACGCCTGGGTGGCTCAGATCGTTAAGCGTCTGCCTTCGGCTCAGGTCGTGATCTCTGTTCTGGCATCGAACCCCGCATGGGGCTCTTTGCTCAGCAGAGAGTCTGCTTCTCCCTCTCCCTCTGCCTTTCCCCCCCCTGCTCGTGCTCTCTCTCAAATGAATAAATAAAATCTTAAAAAAAAAAAAAGAAAAGCTGAAAGGGGTCACTTTTCCTACCAGATAGTGAGACACACTGCCAAACCATAGTAATAAGCATTGTGGTGCTGAGGCAGGAAGGAACTGAAAAACACACCAATGAAACAGAACAGAGACCAGAAACAACTCTGTGCCATAAACATACAGAACTTTAAGTCTGACAGAGGTGGAATCACAACTCAGTGGAGAAAGGATGTTGCTTAGTAGATGTTATTGGGAAACTGGCTTACTATTGAGAGAAAAAGTGTATTCCTGCCTTACGCTATATATAAAGGTGGATTTCAGGTAGGCTAAATACCTAAATGTGAAAGATAAAACTAATAAAGGAATTGATAAGATAGGTTAAGAGGATTTCTTAAGAGTCTAAAAGCACAAGTCACAAGGCAAATGAAATTTAAAAAATAATGCATTTGGGGCACCTGGGTGGCCCAGTCGGTTAAGTGTCTGCTTTCGGCTCAGGTCATGATCCTGGAGTCCCGGGATTGAGCCCCACGTTGGGCTCCCTGCTCAATGGGGAGTCCGCTTCTCCCTCTACCCTCACCCACTCACGCTCTCTCTCAAATAAATAAAATCCTTAAAAAAAAATAATGCATTTGACAAATTAGGGATTTTCTGTTCAAAGGAGGATGCCATAGATAAAGGCAACTGTTGACAAGGGAAGAGATATCTGCAATGTCTACAACCAAAAGGAATGAATAATATCCAAGGGATCCCTGCAAATCATCAAGAAAAAGACAGGGAACTAATCAGAAAAATGGGCAAAGGATATGAATAGGCGATTCTGAGAGGAGATACCTGAATGGCTAATAAGTATAAAAAGAGAAGCAGACCTCATTAGTAATCAGAAAAATTCAAATTAAAGCAAAGAGATAAGAGAGAGAGATACCGCCTTACAACTATAAGATTCACTAAAAGTGAGAAAGCTGGCTAATCCCAAATGCTGGAATCCCAAATGCTGGAATCCCAAATGCAGGGTAAACCACATGCACTACTGGTGGGAGGGAACACTGGTGCAGCTACTCCCTTCAGCAGTGGGCAGAGCGTGGTG